CCGCTCCTGAGGCTGCGCGAGTCTACGTTGGGGCGCACTCCTTGGGCAGCCTGGTCTGGTCCATTTGCGGGCCCTTCTCACGCCCTTTTGAATCCCTTCATGGAGCCATGCTTTCCATTCCTTGCCGACTTCCTTGTTGGCCTTCATGGACTGCGCTTTTAGAGTCTACCTGGCAACTCGCAGCCACTCCTAAGTCCAGCAGGGCCCCAGTCCCCCCTGGGCCTAACCTGAATCGGAAAATTGTATGACACGTAATATTTCCTGGTCTAGATCTGCGAACTCACTCCTTCTATTCCGTAGTGTCACAAAACGACTAACGCCACACTTTGCATGATCGCATTTTTTACGAACAAGGCCGCGGCGCCCGTCACGCGTCTCAGACGATGTTAGCGTTGAGCCCCGCCCAGGTGTTGCGCGCGGCCTCTCAGGGGGGTGGGCGAGGACCGAGGCTCGAGAATCGAATTCCCATGAGCAACGCCTGGGCATACTTCCCATACGGGCTGATTCGGGCGCGCGAAGCGTGAATGGCATGGAAGACGGATCAGGCCGCGAAGGGCCCCAAACATGTTGAAGAGCCCGAGTAGAATTCTGCATCCGATCGCGAAGGACACCAGAAAGAGCAGACCACACATTAACCGACGACAGTGACAAAAGGGCCAACGACAGAGCAATTCCGACAACAAAAGGAGGCCGACGACACATTCAATCGACAACGCAAACAATTATCAACGACAAACAAGGTGGCGGACGGCGCAATCCGCCGGCGGCGCAGAGCCGCGACAAAATCCGAAGTCGTCGGGAACGTGCCGTTCGCATTTTAGTGTCATGGGGGATGCTGGTCACAGGGGCAAATTTGGCACGCGGTTTGGTCAAGCGATTTGTCGACCCGCGTTCTGCGCGCCCTGTAGGTTCGCGCCCGCGCTGGGCTTCCCCGCGCGCTTTGCTGCTTTCGCGCGCGCGCGTGTGGCGCGGCGGCGGAAATGGCGCATGCTGGAGATGCGCGCTCGCGCCGATGCCCTCGCGCGCGCCTCCGCTGCGGGCGAAGCGCGAGGCGCGCGTGGGCGCGGGGGGATGGCGCGCGCGCAACAAAGTAGTAACTCACCAGAAACAGTGCGTAGTCTCTCCATGTTGCACACGGCGCGAGACCAGCGTTGACGCGAGTACCGCGATTCGGGGCGGGCGGTGGTGTCAGAGTTGAATCCGCATATCTTCCAACGCAGGTCGGCACGTTTCAATTGTTCGCGCCCCCCCCCGAAGAAGCCCGACGTTTGCTTCAGGCGATTTGTTTGTGGATCCTGCCCAAAAGGTAATGGGGAGGTGAAAGGGCCCCCCTGGAGGTGAGGAGATTCTGCCCAATGGCAAGCGCCTTGAACTACAGTCGGGTGGGTCCCCGAGAGTTCCTCGAACGCCTCGACGCTGCAGCACGATCGTCGCTGCGCTGAAGGGCGCGCGCGCTCTGGCCCTGGGGCTGACACCTGAGAACGCCGCCTGACATGCGAGGCCTTGGCAGAACTTTGACCTTCAATGGTTTCCGCGAGATCGGATTGCGGCGACCGTGCAGCAACGGCCGCCGAGGCCTCCACCTCCGATTGCAACCGATGCGCCACGCTGACAGACAGGCGGAAACTGACCTCCAGCCAGAACGACGAGTAGAACACAGGCCGTTCAACCTCTTCCTTCCTGTCCACATCTAAGGCTGACCTCCACACTAGCTTGGGCAATCGCCCCCTGCAGCCAGCAATGGGGATTTCAAACTGACGATTCTGATGCAATTCTACGAGCGCGTTTCTTTATTGATGGGGGCATGACGGGCGTCATGGCCCCTGGCCCTCGCCCCCTCCCTGTGACGTAACGCTCCCCCCCAGTACGTTCCGGGCACTGCCGCCGTGCGCATCGTGATCCGCATGGGTGTCCGCATAGGAATCCGCATACGAGTTTGGTCCGCAGTCGTCGTCGTCGTCGGTCGTCGTCGTCGTCGTCATCGCCGCCGTCGTCGTCATCGTCGTCGTCGCCGCTGTCGTCGTCGTCGTCGTCGTCATTGTCGTCATCGTCGTCGTTGTCGTTCGTCGCTCGTCGCTCGTCGCTCATCGTCGTCGTGCGCGCGGACGCAGCGATGACGGTAATCATCTGGGACGGGGTGGAAGGGGGCCGATGACGTCACGTTTCGCGCCGGCGGCGTCTGGGAATGCTGAGGAATGACCGAGGACGGGTAGTAGCAACATGTCTGTGACGATCTGCACCACAACGCCTGTGTACACAACAGTGCCTGCGTGCACTACATCGCCTGTGTACACCACGCCGCATATGTACACAACAGCAGCCACGTGCAACACAACGCCAATGTGTGCAGTGTCTGCTGGCAACACTTCGCCTGCGTAATCACACCACATCAGCCGTGTGAAACACAGCACCAGTGTACACCACAATCTTTGCGTGCATTACAGCGCCTGTGTACACCACGGCGCCTGTGTGCACCACAGCAACCGTGTGCAATAAAGCGCCACTGTTGTATATAGAATGTTACAAGGAATCCGTATGACAAAATGGAAGGCCTGTGGATTCATCATAACACAAATGGTACACATAGGATTTGGATCAGAATCGTCATGGAAAAAAGGGCTGCCGCTGAAATCAACGTGTTTTCTGGAACCCGCCCGCATCATCCTATGTCTTCCCATATGCGCCCAGGAAGCTCCAGCTAAATTTGCCGTCCGAGAACCAAGGTGACTGCTTCAATCGACCATTTTGCGGTGCACGCCGAGATGCGCACGTGCGCTGTAGCGCTGACCCGCACGACAGGGGGGAAAGGGTTTGGGAGGAGGAAAAAAACGACGACGAGGAGGAGGAGGAGGCCGACGAGGAGGAGGAGGAGGCGGAGGTGGAGGAGGGAGGAGGGAAATACGTTGCAGTCTGTTCTCAGCACTTCCACGGCGTGGCGTTCAGTTATCCGCAACAGATACTCACCGACATGCTCCTTCCACCTGTGTTGTGCACGCAGTGCTCTGGTGTACGCCAGCGTTGCGTTGCACGCGGATGCTGTGGTGAAGACAGGCGTTGTGGTGTGCACGGGCGTTGCGGTGCACGAAAGCATTGTGGTGTAGACAGGCGATGTGTTGCACATGGCTGCTGCGGTATACACATTCGCTGTGGTGTACACCGGCTCCGTGGTGCACGCTTGCTCTGTGGTTTACACAGGCGCTGCGTTGCAGACGGCTGTTGCGGCGTCTCCGTGGCCATTTTGGCTCAAGATGCGACGTGTCCCGAGAGGGGGCGTGGACACCCCTGGTCCGCGGCCACGCCCTGTATCTCATTCCTCGGTCGAGCTTCGCGCTGCCGAGTGGCTCCGCCCCACCCAGTTTTGTTCCAGGGCATTTGGCCAGCGATGTCTTTCTGGAAGTGCGGTGGTTGTGGCGCCTTCAACCCGCAGGGGCAGGCAAAGTGCGCGTTCTGCGAGCAGGGGCGGCCCTGGCACTACTGGGCGCAGGGTCGCCCCCGCGGCGGGAGCGGCAGCGGCGGCGGCTCGGGCGGGGGCGGCGGCGGCCAGGGCGGGCGGAAGCCCTTGGCGCCGTGGGCTCGGAACGCCGACGGCCAGCGCTTCACCACCAGCGCGTGGCGTCCGCCGTGCGTCGACGACAAACAGCTCCAGCTTGCCGAGCTGCTTGCCGAGAAGTGGGAGGCTGCCAAGGCGCTCTTTTCGCAGGCGCAGATCGACAAGATCGAAGCCAGGAGGGCGGCCCGCGCCATCGGTCCCCGTGCTGCCCGCGAGGCCACCACGGAATTCGAGCGCATCGGCAACAAATTCAAGGTCGACAAGGCCAAGGAGCAGCGCATGGCGGCCGACATCTCGGATCGCCTGCTCAAGCTGGACGCCCAGCGGGCCCTCGCCCGTGCCCTCTGCGAATCGCACGAGGAGGCCCGTGCTGCGGCAGCCTCGGCATTTTCAGGCGCGGCCCAGCCCCCTGCCGCGGAGCTGCTCGAGAAGGTCACCGCCCTCAGCACGTCGGGCAAGGACCCAGCGGCCCTCGTCAGGGAGTTCCTTGAGCAGGTCGCGGCCTTCGCCAAGGCCTCGGCCGCACCGCCAGCCGCCCCCTCCGCCGACGTGCCCATGGGCGACGCGGGCTCGGCTGGCGGAGCGGCCGCGACCCAGCAACAGCAGCGCGCAGGCCCACCGGCAGCGCCGCAGGCTGGGCACAGGCCCGGGATGGGCGCCAACCGCTTCAGGGCAGTCCCCTCTGCAGAAGACCCTGCTGGCCTTCTTGCTCACGCTGCTGACGGTGACGAGCGCAAGCGGCACGGCGACGCGATGGCCCTCCTGCGAGAGCACGTCGGCAAGAAGTTTCGAGGCGGACCTGGACCCGCAGGCTCCACCGACGGCCCAGCAGCGGCTGCCACGCCCCCCGCGGCTGCTGCACCCGCCGCCGCCCCGAGCTAAGGGGCAGCCTGCCAACGGCAGCATCTGGCGTGGCCTCTCATTGCACACGAACGCCTACGCCACGTTGGACCGGCTGCTGGGCGAGGATGACCTCAGGCAGTGCGACTTCGTCGCCGCCCAGGGGATTCACCTCTCTACCGACCGCGCTGCCGAGGTGGCAGCCCGGCTGGGCCGCCGCGGCTGGCAGGCCCTAGCCGCCCCTGCCACCGACGCTGACGGTGGCCGCCCAGGCCATGGAGGCTTGATCGGCCTCGCCCCCAGGCGCCGCGGCCTCGGGCGCCTCGAAGTCGATGGGCTGCGCAGCGGCGTGCTCGTACCAGGCCGAGCGTCCATCGCACGCCGCGGCGGCGTCATCAGGGGGGGCTTTGTGTGGGTCGACGTCTACCTCCACGCCGCCGAGGGCCTCTCGGCCGCCAACCTCCTCATTCTGGATGCTTTGAGGTCGGCCGTGCGGTGCCTTGGCCTTCCCTTCGTCGGCGGCGACTTCAACATGGCTCCGCAGCAGCTTTCCGAGGCCGCGCGCGACTCTGTCGACAAGGTTTGGAAGAGCGTCATCAGGCTGACTGGGATGGTCTTGATCGATCGGTGCGGCCATGGCGAGCAGGGCAGCAAGCGCCGCGGCAGGGGGGGGGGGGGGCGCCTGCGTTGCAGCGGGTGCTCGCCAGCAAGCCCAACCTTCCCAGGCACCCCAAGCTGGACACTAGCGCGCAGTGGATCTCCCAGTGGATGTTCGAGGCGCGCAGGGCCGCCTCGCTGAGCACCGCGCGCTCCCGCCTCGACGGGCTGCGCAGCCCGCGCGGGCCCAGTTCCAGGCTGCCGCCCAACGCCGACGGGGACATGGCCGACCTGCGGCGGACTCACACGTGCAAGGCGCTGGCTCTCATCGGCAGCGTCTTCGACGCCCTCGACGCGCCGTCGGCAGGGTGCCTCGCGGAGATCGTCGGCGCCACCCCCCAGAAGCACATCGAGCACGCCGTGGGGCTGGCGAGGCAGCGCTTTGGAAACTGGATCGACCAGCAGGACGCGCTGTGCGGCAAGGGGTTGCATGCCCTCACGCGCGAGCCCATGCCCCGGCACCTTCGCCCGCTGGCCGCTGACGCGCCCGACGGTGAGGGCGGGCCGCCGCTGCCAGTCCCTGCCGACCAGCAGACCTGCGCCGAGCTGCTCGTCAAGGGGTGGGCGCGCTACTGGAGCGTCGGCGCCCACGTGGCGCCGCTGCAGTTGCCCGCCGACCTTGGCGAGCGGCCGCCGCGGCCAACCGTCGACCTCACGCGCGAGGTCTTTCGCAGCGTCGCCGCCGCCACGGGCACGAGCTTCGACGCGTTCTGCCCCCGCGATTTCGACGCCCTCGACGACGGCGGCGCCGAGGCCGTCGCCGACGTGTTCATGGGGGTCGAGCAGGAGTTCTGCGGGCCCCCCATGCACCAGCAAGCTCGTGCTCATCAGCAAGAGGGAGGGTGGCGTAAGGCTTATCGCCCTCCTCGCCGCCCTGGTCCGTGTCCACGGGCGACTGCGGCGAGACGTCGCGGCCGCCTGGGAGAGGGCCCACCCCGGGGTGTTCTGGCGGGCCTGCGCAGGCAAGTCCTGCGCGCGAGCGGTCTGGCAGCAGCTGGCCTGGAGCGAATGGCTCAAGGCCAAGCGCGGCGAGAGGCCCGACCTCGACTGGAGCTCAGCGGCGGCCATCCTCGCTTTGTGGCAGGCCTTCGAGCTGCCGAGGCACCAGCACCCCATCGCCGCCGCCGTGCAGCGCGACTTCCCAGTCTGGGCGGCGAAGCCCCAAGTTTCCCTTTACCGGATGCCGCTGGCGCTGGAGCTCAACGGCGCGGTCCCGGACCTCATCGAAGTTCAGCAGGCGGCCCTCGCAGGGGGCATGTGGGCCACCTCCTTCATGAAGCTCATCTTCCTCAGCCCGCTCGACCGCGCCCTGCGGGCCTCGCCGAGCATCGCCCCGTCAGTCGTGGTCGACGACCTAGTCTTCAGGCGAGTGGGAGGCAGCGGGCGCGTGACCGACGACCCCGTCGCCAGTGTGACCAGCTTCGTCAGCGACCTGCGCGCGGTGGACATCCACGTCGCCGCCAAGAAGTCTCTCCTGCTGGCCGACGCGCCCGCGGCGGCCGCGGCGCTCGAGAGCCGCCTGGCCCAGGCCGCCAAGGCGCGGCCAGTGGGTGCCGCCCGCGACCTTGGAGTGGATTACGCCCTGGCTGGACGGGCGCCCAGGCTCGTCCGTCGGCGCCGCCTCGAGCAGGCCGCGAGGCGAGCCCCGCGCCCCAGGCGGCTCTTGGGCCCAGGGCGCTGCCGCCATGTCGCAGCAGGGATTTTCAAGCAGGGGGTCGAGGCCAGCTTTGCCTACGGCGTCTGCTGCACGGGGCCCGGCGACTCCGACCTCGACGCCGCGCGCGCGATGGCGTTCAGATCAGTCGAGATCAGGCCCTCGGGCAAAAGTCGCACCGCCGCCCTCGCCACCAGCAGCATGGGCGACGATCCCGTTTTCAAGGCGACGCGCGACCCAGTGCGCACGCTGCGCAGGGCAGTCTGGGAGCGGTGGCTCCCCAGACAGGCCCTGGACAAGGCCTTCGCGGCGGCCCTGGCAGCGTCGGGCAGCTGGGCCCACTGCTGCGGCCCCGTGGAGGCCGCTCTCTTGTCCATGCGCCGCATGGGCTGGGGGGCAGCCTCGCTCGATGCATGGGCCGCGCGCGCCGGCTCTACCGCGGCGTCAGCGACGCCGGCCCGCGGCCCACCAAGAAGCTGCTCGGCCGCGGCTGCCAGCACTGGCGAGCCCAGAAGCTCAGCAAGCACGGCGCCTCCCGGCTCGACGTCGGCATCAATTTCGGCCAGCTTGAGCGGTGGGCGGCCAGCGGCCGCGGTACCTCCCGCGAAGCACGGAGCTGGCCCAGTCTCAGCAGCGAGCAGCGCGGCTACCTCAGGTCCCGCACCGTCGACGGCCAGTGGGCCAACGCCAGGAAGTACGGCAACAGCCCGAGGCGCGCCCCCTCGGACACCTGCGAGCTCTGCCCCAACCATGCCAGAGACCCTTGGCACAGGCACCTCTGCTGCAGCGCCGTCCAGGACCCCCGAGCGAGATCGCCCTGCTGCTGCCGCAGAAGGACAACGCGGTCGTCAAGTGCCTTGTCGAGCGCGTCCTATTTCCAGCCCGGCAGCTCCAGTGGAGGCCTCCCGGCGGCGGCTTCCTCGACCACCTTCGCTGGTGTCGCGGTGGGCCAGGCGAGCCTTTCGTCGCGTTATTTGCTTGTCATATCACAACAAGTGCAATATCATGTCAACTCTGAATGGAAGGATTCTTAAAGCAACTACATGCCAAGACGACTGCAATATAATCGGCAGTATCTTGGTCTTGGGATGCTCCTTTGGTCTCGGACTGAGTATGCCCAACTATTCGGGCGCCCCTGGTCCAGTTCGCCCGCGGCGTTTCGGCGCGTGGTTGGCCATCCTCTTCAGGACCTGCCACAACCAACCGCGCGGGGCAGGCCGACGCTGTCACGAACGACATCCCTTCTTCCTCTGGGACTCCTTCGCACACGCCAAAGTTGCCAGAATATGCCAAGCACAGTTATTGGAACCTGCTGTTTTGGCCTTCAAAGAAGGGAGGGAACAACTGCCCTCTCTTTCGTGACACCGTCGGCACGTGGCGGACTGGCCGTAGGTGCCCCCTTTTTCCGTGAATGTCTGACCCCCCGCCCCCGTGACCAGAGCGCTGACTGGAGCACAGGGCGGCGGGGCCGACTTCGCAGCAGGCATGCCGGAATCTCTCTGCAACACCAGCAGGCATGCCTGAATCTCTCTGACTGATGGGGAAAAAGGCTGCGCCGCCGAAGACGAGCTCCTGGGGGGCTTCGGCTGATAACCCGTTATTTGCTTGTCAAATCACAACAAGTGCAACATCATGCCATTTCTGAATGGAAGGATTCTTAAAGCACTTACATGTCAAGACAAGTGCAATTTAATCGGCATTATCTTGGTCTTGGGATGCCCGTTTGGTCTCGGACTGAGTATGCCCAACGATTCGGGCACCCCTGGTCCAGTTCGCCCTCAGCGTTTCGGCGCGTGGTTGGCCATCCTCTTCAGGACCTGCCACAACCAACCGCGCGGGGAAGGCCGACGCTGTCACGAACGACATCCCTGTTTCCTCTGGGACTCCTTCGTACACACCAAAGCTGCCAGAAGATGTCAAGCAAAGTTTTTGGAACCTGCTGTTTTGGCTTTCGAAGAAGGGAGGGAACAACTTGTCGGCCAGCCACGTCGCTGCGGCGGCTCACTGTGCGATGCGCTGCTGGCCGAGGGCCGTGGTGCGCAGGCCGCGGCAGCGGTCGTCGAGCTACCTCCAGGCCCCGAGGGAGTCGATCCAGGCGTTGGCAGCCGCCCCAAGGCGCTGGGCGCGCTACTGGTTGGCCCCTGGCAGAGCATCGAGGGCGCGGAGCTGCTGGCGGTGCTCATCGCCCCGCGGCGTGCCATCCTGCCCATCGAGCTGCACTGCGAAGCCAGCTACTTCGTCGACGGCATCAACCAGCGGGGCGAGGCCCGCGCGACGCTGGCGTCCTCAGCGCGGGGAAATCTTTGGCGACAGGCGCGGCAGGCGCTCCGCGACTTCGGTGGCGTAGGCCCAGCGGGGCTCACGATCGTCGAGATCAAGGGCCACGCCACCGCCGACCACGTCACCCGCGGCGTCATCACGCGGAAGCAGCGCCGCGGCAACTACGAGGCCGGCCGCGTCGCAGGAGGGATCGCCCACCTTGCGCGCCCCCTCGGCCGAGAGACAGAGGCAGCTGCGCGCCCAGCTCGTCGTCGGCGGCGTCGCGCACTGGGCGGCCCCGGCTGGCGCTCCAGCGGCCGCCGACAGGCTCGACAGCATGCGCGGCTACGTGGCCCGCGACGAGGCCGACAAGACCCGCCTCCTCCTCGCCGAGCACACGTTCAGCACGCTGGGCTCGGGCCCCTGGAATTGCACGGCGCGTCTGCGCACGGCGCCGACCAAGAAGTCGAAGCGGGTGCTGCATCGGGCCCCGTGCGCCCCCAAGATCGCCTCAGTGGCCAGGAAGGCGGCGCCGTCCAGCGCGGCAGCAGGCGCGGCCATCGCGGCGGCGGCGGCGGTAGCCGCGGCAGCCGCCGAGGGCGCCGACAGCCAACCAGGAGTGCCCGGGTTTGGTCGGGGCCAGGACCCCGCGCCGAGCGCGGCGGGGCAGGGGCCCGCGACCGCAGGCGAGGTTGGCTCGGCCCGCGGCCAGGGCCCAGCGTCGAGCTCGGCGGAGGGAAGCTGCGGCCCAGGGCGCCGCCGCGGCCAGCGGCCTGGTCGGCGCCGCGGCCGCCCGCGGGCGGACTTCGGAGGCAGCTGCGAGGTCCCGATCCCCACGGCCCGCCGCAGCACAGCCGTCGGCGGGGCCGGCGGGGCCTGCTGGGGGCGAGACCGATGCCGAGGACGGCCCGCCGCGGGCGCGCGACGCCCTCGGCCGCATCGCGCAGCGCGCCTTCGGCCACGCGCTGCGCGCGAGGTGCCGCGCCTACGCCAGGGAGCGCCTCGGCAGCATCAAAGCTTTAGCGGCGCAGTGCGCCCCGCGCGTGGGCGAGACCGGGCGCGTCCGACGTTTTCGGGCTGGCCGCGTTCGGCGGGGGCAGCGCCCCACCACCTCGGCTCGCCTCGCCGACGGCGCGGCCGCTGGCGAGGCGCGGGGCCGCCCGAGCGCCGCCGCCGCCGCCGCGCGGCTGGGCTAGCCGCTAGCCGCTGACTCTTCGGCGCCACTCGCGCGCCCCGCCGCGACGGCCCACGCGTCGTCGGCGGCCCCCCGTGCCGCGGCGGCCCGCGCGTCGTCGGCGGCGGCGGGCTTCGCCGCGATGGCCCGCGCGTCGTCGGCGGCCGCCCCGAGCCGCGACGGCCCGCGCGTCGTCGGCGGCGGCGGGCTTCCGCGCGCCCGCGGCGCGCGCAGGGGGCTTCGGTCGCCGCCGTCCTCCTGGAGCCTTGCCCCCCCCAAGGAGAATCGGCTGTTGCGGTGTGCGCAGGCACCGTGGTCAACAGAAGCGCTGTGGCACGCGCGAGCACTGAGGTGCAGGCAGGCGCTGGGGGGCAGATCGCCACCTACATGCTGCTCGCGTCGTCGTCGTCGTCGTCGTCGCTCCTCTCTCGTCGCTCGTCGCTCATCGTCGTCGTGCCCGCGGGCGCGGCCGTGGTGCCAGAAACACCCGGCGGGGGGGGGCGTTGCGTCATGCCCCCCCTGCCCCCCCCGCGACGCCCGTCATCGCCGATGCTAAGGAAACGCGCCCTACCCCCGCTAGACTTATTTCTTGTACATGATGCTCCGATGACGTTGAATATGGCCCATCGGGGCCCCTCCTGTGGCCAACGACGCCCCAAACAGCGAACAATCAAGGATAACATCCCGAGATGGAGGCTGAGGGCACGGCAGTATCGGGACGCCCATCTCCCGAATTTTGTGTCCGAGGCCGCCGTGGAGCACGTGCCCGTGACGGAGGGACAGCCACGGGTTTTCCCCAAACTGGCGGCCAGGTCGCCCTCGTGCAGTTCCGAAAACTCCATATTGAAGTTATCCTATGATGTGGGTTGCGTGTAAAATCTGGGCAAAGCCACTAACGGCTGCAATGATCATTCTGCCCTGTGTGGAGAAGCCGTCGGTATCCCTGGGGTGCACCGGCTTGCACCACATCGAACCAGTCAGTGGTAGCTGAACCTAGTAAGCGATGGTCCTGGAAGGAAGCAGCCCCGGATCCTCTCCCATTTTACACATTATTGTGTACGAGGTGTGCTTGCACAATGATCGCCGCCCCGTCCGAGGCCCTAGAGCCTGAACCCCTCAGCACATTCAAACCGTGATTCGCATGTGATTGATCGAAGCTTAGTTCGAGGCCTCATCTACTTGCTTTTGATCGGCTAGCTAAAACACTTACGGAAACACGATGTACGATGTGCACAGTCGTTCTTAATAGCCAAGGCTTAGCTGAACCCGATGGGATGACGTTGACCGTCTCCACGGTCAAATCAAAAATGTCAGGCCCAGGACACGGCGGGGATCTCAGGAACTCACCCACGGGTTCCGAGTTCCGCCCGGGGGGGGGGGCGGAAAACAACACAGACTAGGTACAAGCTGAGATCGAGGGGGCACCTTGCAACTTTGCCGGCCTAGCTGCAGGGCGATCGTCCTGCTGGCGGTCCAAATCGGCAAGAAGTTCGCCCTCAGGCGGGGCCTTTTGCTCAAGAAACTGAAACAGATACTGATGATGTTCCCCCCCATCTCCCCCCGCGCCTTCTCGCATCTCCTCGGGCCCGTCCTCAGGCCTGACCTGCTCCTCGTTCGGGGGGGAGCCTCCCATGCGCTCCAGGGCGATGCGTGCTCGCACACGTACATCGTCTGGTTTTGCGCCTTTTGCTGCTGCTGTTGCTGCTGCTGCTGCTGCTGAAGACGGCTGCCCTGACGATGCCAGCGCTAGCGGTGTTACTGCCGTCTTTGGCTCGGCTGCCGCCGCCCCTCCAGCTCCACCAGCATCTCCTCTATCAGCAGGTCCTCCAGCTCCGCCTGCATCTCCTCCTGGTGCAGCTGCTGGCTTGCCGTCAGGGCCTCCTGCCATCGTGCGTGTCTTCCCGAGCTTGAGAGGG